AAAATTTGACTCCTAGTGATCAAGAAAAATCAAGCAATACCTTTGATACTAATAGCAAGAAAGTTCCCAAAGAAAGAAAAACTGATTGTGAAGTACCTGAAGACCTATTTAACCTTTGAAGTGAGAGGTATATAGATGTTTTTGATAATAAAAGGACTTATTTTTCTCCTTCTAGTCACTTGTGGGTCTCTTAAAGCTATCACTTTTATGGTTTTCTGAAGAATTTTGCTTACCTTAGTTTGACCCTGAATTTTTGATAGCACAAATCTTTACCAAAGGTGATTGGTTGCCATGAAACATGTCAGTTTTTGAAAGTAAACAAGCCCCTATTGATCACATTCATGTGTTTTGATATATTATTGGTAATGTAGGAAAGAAAGTTCTAGAAAAAGTGTCACCTCCAATCATATATGTTCAACCTTCAGGAAACAATTATAATACTGAATGGCGAGTGATGGATACAAAAAGAAGATTCAACTCCCATTTCTTATTAAGTTTCTCAGATAATGAAAATATTTTTTTGGATAAAAGCTGAGATCTCCAATCTTCTATTCCGGTCAGACAAAGTTTTTAAAAAGATTTCTTTATCCCGATCAGGCATACTCTTCCGTAATATGGTACTGGTTTCAACAGTAATAAGTAAATTCATATATTAGAAGAAGGATAAGTTTCTCAAATGTTTTTCTTGAAGCTATTTTCAAGAATGACTAAGTTCCTCAAACATCATAAAGCTCAGAAAATATCCCAATTAGACAAACACCTTTCAAGAAGAAATTGTAAAATGGAGCAAGAATCTTTTGAAGGGCTTTGATTTGCATTCCTTTTCTTTTTTTCCCAGTGCTAACTTTAGTATTTATTATTTTTCAGGATAATCTATAGTGACAAACTGTTAGTGATGACCCTGGTTGACTTAGAGGCACTATTGTCAAGCTACTAGAAAAGTAAAATATTGTCCTCTAAATCTGACTTAGAGTACCTAGTTTAGACTTAGTTTTGTTTAGTCCAAACTAGCTTAGTGGACTTCTTATATTTTTTAAATAGCATAGTCCTTTAACTAATAATGTATAATGTCGAGTTAGTTGCTTTATGAAAGTCTGTAAAATATTTAGGTATTTCTTAATATTTCAATAAAGACACCTCATTGTGGCATGATTGTGGGTTAAAAAAAAAAAAATACAAATATATATAAATTCTTCAAAAAACATAAAAAAAATAAATATTAATATTAAAATAATAGTAATAAAAAAATATTTTTTTTTGTCTTTTATTAGATTTTTTATTAAATTATTTGTAAACTATACATATTTTCTATATATTGCAAAGCTAATTTTTAATCAATTAACTTATATTAATATAAATTTTAAGTGTAATTGTGAAAATGATTTGTTAGTTCAAATTCTGACTATTAATATCATTATTTGCAAATCACTATTGCAGAAAACAATATTAATAATATTTTAATATACAGTATTTGCATAATTATATCTACATATTTTCAAAAATAAAATAAATAAATGATAACAAATTTTTAAATAATAATTTTTGAATAATAATTTTTTTATTACAGTAATTCAATCACTATTTTAATATATTATATTGATTACATTATCTAGTATACTATATACTGTGCTGTATTATACTGTATATTAACTAATATGTGTTGCATTCTTTTTGGTGGGTGCTACAATTTTTGGAAAAAATTCAACTTTTTTCTCTAAATGCACAATTTTCTATAATAAAAACATAATAAAAATGCAAAATTTTGGTTCATGAATTAACAACTATTTTTATAATTTTTCGGACGTTATTTTCCGTGTCGACTGTGCATAAATCCAAACCATTAGTATGCACGCTATTGTGTTCCAAAAACATTTGCTTGCAATAATCGTGACTCAGCCTTACCACCGTAGTAAAAGTTGTAAGTCTCTAAGTGGGTTCCACAACATACATAACTTGACGAATTTGTGCTTTAAGATTTATTATTATATCCCTAATTCGATACGAACCTAAATATACTATGAATGCAGGCCTTTTGTTTCATTTGCGGATGTGTCACGCGCATTAATTCCAGAGAATGTATATAAACTATGAAGAATTCTGAGTTAGATCTCGTTGAATACATTTACTTAAATTGTTTAGTCAACCTAATCAAACCAATTGTACAAGAAACCGAGAAAAAAAAATCAAATCATGTATGGATCTATGCTATTATCCACCACTTGCCCCATTGAAAACAAAGATTCAGATCCTGGAGACCTGACATTTATAAATCCTGATGGGAATAGTGTTCCTCGTAAGTTATACCATGCTCTATCAAATAATATACAGGTTATTTATGAATTTTAAATCTCAGAGGTTTTTTGTTTCACCATTTCAGTTCATGTGGTGGGATGGTTGGTCTCATTGATTTTTACAGTCCAAGCTACCTTGGCGACTCTTTACCTAATAAAACAACATTGGAAATATTACCACGAGGTATGCATTGTAAAATTAACTCTTCGAGTAAAATGTAATTGTTGACCTAAGTGGTGTTATTTCTTCATTCTAGCCGTCTCATCAACGCTACATAGTCCGTCTCCTTTTAATAGTTCCCATATACACAATCTTTAATTGGTTCTCTTACTTTCTATTCCACTACTCCGTTTACATTAATACCTTCCGTGATGCTTACCAGGCTTACGCCATTGTGAGTTTCTTTAATCTCCTTTTACAATGCCTCGGTGAAAATGACGAGGTTCGCATGCGCAAATTCTCCGACATTAAATCCGCCCGTATACTTCGTTTCATACACTTTAATCCAAGTGCACATCCGACTTTACTAAAACGATTAAGAATAGGAACATTGCAATATGTATTTATATTGTCTTCGACTACATTCACTGCGTTGGTGTTACAAGCTTTGGGTATTTATTGTGTGGGATCGTATAGTTTAAAGCATCCTCAAATTTGGTTATCGATTGTACAGACTGCGTCAGGGATTTTTGCGAATCTTTGTATGGTAATATCTACAAAGAAAATTTCTTTCTTCTATAATAACAACTCATGTTTAACATCAGATGTGCATGTATGTACATAGAACATGTTGTTTAACCTTGTGCAAGAGCTAAACGCGGATACCTATCCGTGGTCCCTGAGAAATATTTGCGTAAACACGGTATGATTCGATTATTATGCTTACTATAAAGATTATAATTATTCATTCACACCAACATCTATTATAATTTCCAGGCTCTGTTCTTAATCACTTATCAAGGTAAGTAATTATCATTTATCACAAAGAAAATTATATTTTTATTTTGTATTCATTCAACACCATATAATCATAGGTCATGCATTAGGATTATTCATATACCTAGGATACATCAAAGGAACACGATACTGGTAATCATCAACTTTCCAAATATAGATAACGTATGTCGGATTTAAAGTAATAATAATGATAAATTTTCACCTAGGACCGCACAAAACATCTCAACCGGGATCCAAACCCTCCTCATTTCAGTGGAATTTTCCATCCTCTCTTTGGTTCAAATGAAAGCATTCCGATATAAGGATTATCGACCTAACCCTCGACAAACAACCCCTATTCCAATTTCCATAAAGGATTCTTTGTTACCTGTAGATCTTTTTAATGACTTTAAGTTTGCCGTCCTTTCGATTTATAATCGCTTACTAGGTAGACCTTCTTCATCGAATCTTTGGCCTAATGACAGACCTACTCCGGAAGAGGATGTTTTAGAAGAAAAAAAAGGATTTTGGGAAGAATTTTGGAGTTTCTTAACTTCTCCGTTTTCCGGACATCCTGGGGAGGCGGAGGTAAATATAGAACGTGGTGGAGAGAAAGGGAAGAATTCGAATGAAGAACGGACAATAATACGGATATGCCGGGCCATAGGATTAAAATGAAAATTGACCACCCTCTGCTTATGGTGAAAGACATTAAGTCAAATCGTACTATCGCTAAGGGTTCGAACTTTAAATTTTATTTACATTTAAACATCTCATCTTTAATATTGCCTATTATAGCATTATGTAATATACATTATTTGACACACTATGTTTCACATATTCTCCCGAAATTGTATAAACGATACATAATTCTTGGGGGATAATCTGTAATATATTTTTAGGATATAACTTGTACCATAGCTTTCATTAGTAAATAGTTTCTAATTTCATAATTAGGTGTGATAGAAATAAATGTCAACATTAGTATTAACTATAACACATTTTTACATTAGCATGTTAGTTTCAGCTCTCGCATTTGCAATTTTTTATATTATTGAATCATGATGAACTAATTAATGGTGGACTATGCACGCGGGGAGGGCGAACGAGTAACATGTACTGTACGTATAGTTTAAGTCACGTGAATAAAGAACGAAAACTTGTTGTCTTCTCGATGAGCTTTCAATTTGAAATACATACGTGTAAGCCCACGATTGGACCTATTGTTCAACCATAAAGAACCCCCCCCCGGAATTAGAAAAATGTGGCAGTGCAAAGAATACTTCTCATAAATACCTTGCCGAGCCCAAAGTTACATTCTTTTGTTAGGAAACGGAGCTGATATAGGGCACCTTACCATTCTATTTTCAGTAATGATCTCATTAATTTGCCGTCTATTTCATATATTTTTCTTAATAATGTGTGGGATTACACGTAAGTTCACAAGACCAAAGTAATAATGTTTTCCTCATGTATTAATTTTTTAAAGAATTGTCGCACATAGATATATGGTTATTCGGTATATTAAATGCATTGGAAAGGAATCTTCACATACAAAATAGATTTAAGACAGATGATGACAGTTCGGTTTTGTACGTAAAAGATTTTTACTTTCGTAAGATTTTCGTAACACATGCTTAATTTCTTTGTAGATATTTTTTACTGATTTTAACGGCGATTTCGTTTTCACGTGAGTCATATTCTCCTTTTGGGTTTCTCGAATCGCATCTTTTCGTTTTTTTTTTTAATATTTTTCGTACGATCCCCAAGTTTGGACATTTATGAAGTATGGGTGGAAGGTGCGAAAGGAGCACACCCAAGAACTTGGGGGTCATTATTTGTGAGTTTTTTTTCTTAATACTGTCTGTATATGTTTGAAGTGATGGATGCGTACTAATTTATTCGAATTTTTAATAGTATGTGCGCGCTACTCTGGATATTTTATCATGGTAGGTCAGACTACAGCAAAGTATTATATACTTTATTCGAATTTTCCATCTACATTTCATGTTTCCATATTTTCTCTCTCGAAAAGGAATCCTAACAATCCGCATGGCTATCTTCAACGCCGAACCGTTATCAAATCAATCTTGGCAATGTAATCTCCATCGTAGTCCAATTCAGCATCCATATAAACGATCATTAAACACTGCTTTTGCGAATTTAACCAATTCAAGTACGATCATGATGTCTAATCCAACGAAAGTAAAATGGCAGACTTCCGTGAAAAGTTCTAATTCGGGGCTCATAAACCTTACTTTTAAAACTTCGAATCCTTTTACTACAACTACCTCGAGTTCTATTGCTTCTACCCCTGCACTTTCAACACTACATTCTTCTCTATCAAATTTCAATTCCCCTAGCAGTATCAAAAGACCCTCAATTCTTATTTCAATAACTTCAACAAGTTTCTATTTTCCTAGCAGCATTAAAAGACCCTCAGTTCTTATTTCAACAACTTCAGCTAGAACCCCGACTACAACGTCTAAAGAATTTGCTACTATTGCACCTCAAATTTCAACTGTATCTAAGTTATACGAATCTAATCTTTCACATTCATCATTCACCTCAACAATCACTTCGACGTTTTCATCGGCGAATCTAAAAAACACAACTCTCAGCCCAATCCTCAGTTCAACTTCTAAAACCACTACCTCCTTAATTCCCAGCTCAACCCATAGTTCAACCTCCAAAAATAGTTCTCCTTCCATAGCTCTCACTTCTGCTCGAAGAATATCAACTCCACCTCACATCGAACCTATCACAACAAAGTCCCCTTCTCCATTCCAAGCTATCTCTCCAATAATTATATCCGATGTATCCACTCAACTCGCTCAAATATGCACATTGAAAATAATGGATGTACTATTAGGATGGTTTAATCCTTTGTTCTTCTTTCTGCTAAGCTGGATAGTGATATTGGATTTGGATGAATATTGTGTTGGAAACTTCTATGGGCTATATCATAGGGTTAGGAACATAAGGCATGGATATATGATGGTTTAAGTAAAAAAAAAAAAGAAAAGAAATGTTTGCAATGACTGCGTATGGAGATTGCGGAACGTATAATGGAGTAATTGAAACCATCCAATAACTTACGGTATTTAATTTACAAAATAAAAAATGCCTCCTCAAAAGTTTCCGGAAATCTCTTTATTCTAAGTAGATTTCTTAATTTAATCCTATATCTAATTTAATATTTTTCTCGGGGATTTTGTGCCGATATTATTATTATTTATTTATTTATTAATATATATATATATATATATATATATATATATATA